AGTGCATTGCTTTCTATGGTAATGTGCCATAAACACACCTACAGCATTTATGGTGCATTTAACAATTGCATTTACAGTGTGTTTGACAAAAACATGTATTAAATATCAGAAAAGTGGAAAAAAAACACTTCCCCCTTAGGGCCCTTTCACACTGATGTGCTTTTGATGCGTTCCCATTGACATACAATGAAAGGTGTCTTTCTGGTGTGCTTTGAAAAACTTCACCAAAGATGCAGCATACAGGACTTTTCAAAGTGGCGCAGCTGCAGTGTGAACAGTTACATAGGATTTAATGGGGAATAAGTTTCATTTGATTGCCACCCTGGAAAAGCATGGCAAAAGTGCACCAGTATGAAAGGGGACTACATAAGAAAAAAGTACACGTTAATGCTACAGGCGCATTGGTTTGCATTAGTGTCAGCGTTAGAATATTTTTCAAGTGTATACTTAGCCTTACTTTGTTCTCTCCCTGTGCTATGCAAATCGTCTGTATAAATTTGTTGTGGAAGTGTGAATGTCTGAATGTCTCGGTTTTACTGCCAGTACCAGTACAAAGCTGCATGTAGTCTCAACTCATGGCTGTGACAATGCTCTGGCTGAATTGAGTAGATGTTGTCACCCTTTCCTGCACACTTGGATACACTTTCTGCTATGATTACCAAGCATGATTTAACTGAAAAAGAAGATATTAAAAAAGGATAAAATTTTTTTTTAAATTACAGGAACATGTCCAATAACATATTTTCTTTAACTGTCTGAATTTAGATACTCTTTCAGTTTATAAAGGAATGATTTATAAAGCCCATTATGGTCAAACCCATTTAGAGAGTGTGTTTTTTTAGGGGAGACTACATGTATGCAGCAGCTTTATTGTTAACAGAACCAGACAAATCAAAGAAAACCTGTAGCTTACTCTATGTGGCCAAAGTACAAGTTAAAAATAAACAAAAAAATAAATAAATAAAAACATACATGCAGCAATCCATGTGTCAATGCACTTACAGGGATCCACTGCCCTCTACTGTCTGTATTTGTAAGTGCTGTGAGTTATCTATGTACATCACATCCTGTCTCTGTGGGTTGTTAGGTAAAAAACCTGAGTAACCTGGTAAAGAAACTGAGAAAGACTGAGACCCATGTCCTGTCCAAGGGAGAGCTGTTGCTGAGCCAAGACCAGAATACAGCAATTACTAGGCAAGTGCTCCTATTTTTAATAGTTTACTATTGTTGCAAATAGTTTTTGAGTATATATATATATATAAAGACTGGTGACAGAAGCATTTCTATCCTATTGTTGTGGTTATCCCATATGCACAGTGCCAAAAAAGCTAGGTCTGTGCTACTGTAGTATGTACATTGTATGTTGTATTCACATTCCTGTAAACTAGTAGGTGAGTCTGTTTATTGCAATAGAGGTTATATACAGCTCTTGTTATTGAGGAATTACACTGCATCTAAGCACCACAAACCAAAAACACTATTTAATTCATTTTTTAAAATTCAAAACAAACTCACCTATCCAGCCGTGTTCCACTTGAAATAGCTTTGAAAAGGACCCCCTAGCATTGCTGGTTATGGTCATCTAGAGTAAAGGCAGATGATTCATGCAGCATTTACTTCCTGGAATCCATCTGTCCTTAGCTCAGGCACGCATATAGAATGGTGATCTTAACTTAGAAAAACCCTTCTCCCCCCTGAACACTCCTGAGATGTATTTGCCTAGGCATGAAAACCAGGAAATAACTGAAGAAATGTGAACAAAAACAATAAAGACTTTCAAATATAATATACTTTCCTATGTTTTTTACTAATACTAGCAGCATAAGGATTAAAAATAGTCAATGTTGATTGAGAGAGTGAAGTTCTGCTTTAACCCTGTCTCTTCTGGTCTGGGATTCTATAGCTACTTTTAGCTTAGGGCTCGATAACCAGCATAGGCTAGAGCCAGGTTGGGCATCTGGCGGCCACTCCTGGTAGTTAGAGGTCTGATTGCATGACACATTAGAAACTACTAGAGACTCAGACAGAGTAAATAGGCTGACTCTGAGTTCCAGTGCCACACCACAATTTTGACTGGTGAGAATCTGCATTCCAGGCTGGTTGGACAAAGGTTGGAGGATCTCCCAATTACCACCAATCTTATCTTCAGGTCTCTAACACAAAGATGGATGGCACATTGCATTCATTCTCAGGGTCCCCTGCAACAAAACTTTGCTGTAACATTCATCTGGAGGTATCTCTATTAATAACTATAGATACCTGGGTATATGTGCACAATTCCACTAGGACTCCTATTGGGCCCTTTGCTAATAATACCTGCTTGTACATTGGATGTACTGTACTATTATTATTCTTTTCTAATATAAAGCTTGTATTATTTCCATGCTGGCGTGCATCTACAGTAAATACTTATGGTTAATGTTATGTGCTGGGTGCAGTAGTTCCTCTGCTCCTAAATAAAGGCTACACACTGTAGCTACACAGGTGGCACATAGACTGTTGCAGCACCGTAAGGTTGTTTATGAACTGTTGGATTATTCCCAGTGCCACCTTTGCTGCAATAATCTTTGTGCCAAGAGTGTTAGGGTATGCTGCAACAACTTGTGTATTAACTTTAACGTTGACATTTTAACATTTTATTTAATGTACCTTTCAGTTAAATCATTTTTGTAATGTACATAGAAACATTCTGGTCCACTCTATAGGCATTTTAAATATGTCATCAGAGAAACCAAGAAAAAGAGCATCTACAATGGGCATTGAATGTTTGGCTGCCTTTAGTTGCAAATTCTGACAAAGTATATTACAGTACTTATCTCTGTGTTTGTAGCTCCTAGAAATATGTACAGAAAGTTGTTAAAAGCTCAAAAAAATCTCAACTGATGTGCTGCCCTTAACATCACACAGTAGTTTTTTTTTACAGCTTAAACAAGATGGTTTTTACTTACAACTTCAAAATTCCACTTTGTCGTTCATTATGTTTGTACAGTGTTGTATTCCTCAGCCAAGGTCAGTACACTACGTCTGCCACCTCTCAAGACAATCTACTTACTCCTCCCCTAGTACAGTACACCAGGCTTTCACACCTTAGCAAACTGTGGACACAGGTATGCAGATAATAAACAATACATCTTGCCATGGGGCCAGTCAATTACCACCTACCAAGTACACTGCTCCACAGCTGCAACCTAACATGGCAAGCAATTCTAAGCCATTGTCAGGTCTGAATTCCTTTGCACCACCATACCTTCCAAAGTGACGCAATTTCATTGCACCAGCAATTGTACCTAACTTTGTTCCACCTGCAGCTGTGCATCCAATGTCAGAAACACAAATCTGTCACAGTTTGTTTAATTTGTTTAATATTTGAAATCATAGAGCTCAACGGGGAGTATCATGCTACACAACATGCATTGTGTGGGTTTTTTGCCTTGAAATCATTTTGCCACTACCTCTACTGTAGAAAGGGGGTACTCTGTATAGTTAGAGTCATACTCCTTCAGTATGCTTTGGTTTCCATTCTGACCCCAAGCATATTGCAGAAGCTGGTCATATTATGATCTTTTGACCTGTCTGATGTTCATTTGTTAAGATCTGCACAAGTTTTGGATTAAACATGTCTACAATCTGTTAGATGTCATAAATCACTCTCTGCTAGCTCTGTTGGGATTGTGATTATGGAGAGAACACTTTCAATGTATAGAAGGCAGAACACTTTATTTTATAATTTCATTAGCAAGTTGATGGGGGTGGGGGTATAAACAGACTGAACTTCCCCACCTACATGTATCATTTACAACAAAAGTACGGTACATACAGGTAGAAGTAAATTATTCTTCACCCAAGGAGCAATAGACTATATTAGTTCCTACTAGGACACAATCATTTATAATAATTGAACAGTAACAAAGGATAATCCTTGAAACAATAAATGATATATTCTCCTTCCTAGCCCAGAACTGGGATGACATACTATGGGCTTGTGCTTTTTTCTTGCTTATTGCTCTGCCTCTTGTTGCTGTTTTCAGAATAGCAGTACCAATTTTGGTCAGTCCATTGTGCCATGGAGATAGTATGCTGGCAATATGGTCATTTTGAAGCACAGGCTCTTTATATATAAATCTCTAGTCCGTTTACAAGCATGTCCACCCTGCTGTTACTAACCCTTTCCTGTTATCCGGTTTAAGCACCTGCCTGGGTTTTAGCAGCTTTTGGACAGTGTTTGTTTAACTTCCACTAGTAGGCCTCTTGTGCGTAAAGATCTGTAATGCAGCGATGCGTTCAGAGACAAAAAAAAATATTTAAGTGCAGTGATTTATACAGTACATATACACTGAGGATTTCTTATCACTAGAAATTTAGGGGCATATTTATAAAAAGTAGATGATTTACCAAACATTCACTGCAGGTATTATGTATACTTTTAGTTGAACCATAGAGGAAATGCTCTCAATCACATTAATTATTTTAATCCTTATGCTGCTAACCTTAGTAAATAACTAGGAAAGTATATTATATTTGCTTGTTTCAAACTTTTTTTTTTACATTTCTTCAGTTGCTTTCTGGTTTCTGGCCTAAGCCAAAACCAAGTCATACATCGCAGGAGTCTTCATGGGCAATTTTTTTTCCTTTTATCTGGAGGAGAGAAGGTGAGCTTTTCTCAGCTGAGCACACAGTCAGTGGACATTTGTGGGCAGGGCTAACCAGGTGGCAGTAGTTTAACCACCTCCTGCCCACCATATAAGGAAATGATGGACGCAAGGTGGTTCTCATGTTCTGGGAGGATGTCATATTACATCCACTTACACTAACCACGTGCCCGCGCCCCTAGGGGCGTGCAGCGTGGCAATCGGTGGTGCTCTGTGTCCCGGGGACACAGCGGACCACAGATCAGCAGAAAGAACTGATGATTTCGGCTCTGTCATGTGATCAGCTGTATCCAATCACAGCTGATCGCATGTAAATAAGGAAATTAAATTTATCGGTATTTCTCTCCTCACGAGCTGTCACACTGACAGCTCGTGAGAAGAGGATAGACAGTAGTCAGCATTCCTCAGTAGGGACATCTACACTGATCATCAGAGCACTGATGATCAGTGCCCTGATGATCAGTGTAGCCCCATCAGTGCCACCTGTCATTGCCCATCAATGCCACCTGTCAGTGCCCATCAATGCCACATATCAGTGCCTACCAGTGCACAATGCCACATATCAGTGCCCAATTGAGCTCCCTTTCAGTGCCACCTATCAGTGCCAGTCAGTGCTTCCTATCAGTGCCACCTATCAGTGCCAGCAAGTGCCGCTTATCAGTGCCAGTCAGTGCTGTCTGTCAGTGCCGCCTATCAGTGCTGCCTGTCAGTGCCATATATGAGTACTGCCTTTCAATACCCATCAGTGATGTCTGTGAATGAATGCCCACCAGTGATGCCTGTCAATGCCCATCAGTGCCACCTACCAGTGCCTCCTTATCAGTGCCCATCAGTGCAGCCTATCAGTGCCCATCAGTGCAGCCTCATTAGTGCACATCAGTGAAGGAGAAAAAATTACTCAGTTACAAAATTTTATAACAGAAACTAGGAAAAAAAAATTTTTTTTTCAAAATGTTCTGTTGTTTTTGGTTTGTTTATCAAAAAATAAAAAACCCAGTGGTGATTAAATACCACCAAAAGAAAGCTCTGTCTCAAAAAAAGTATAAAAATTTCATATGGGTACAGTGTTGCATGACCGCTCAACTCTCATTCAAAGTGCGACAGCGCTGAAAGCTGAAAATTGGCCTGGGCAAGAAGGCGGTGAAAGTGCCTGGTAAGCAAGTGGTTTAAAGGGATCACGCGAGACTAAGAGGTTGATTTACCAATGCTGGAGAGTGCAAAATCTGGTGCAGCTTTGCATAGAATCTAATCAGCTTCCAGGTCTTTTTTGTCAAAGCTTAAATGAACAAGCTGAAGTTAGAAGATGATTGACTATCACGCACAGCTGCACCAGATTTTGCACTCTTCAGTTTTAATAAATTAACCTCAAAGTGTTTTAGAAAATTTCTTGGTCATATAATGAATAGTACATAATACCATTTTAACGTGCACTACTTTCTGCAATTTTTTTTATACGTTGTGAAAATTCAATAAAGTGATTGAACAAGAATAGTAAATAGTACAGCAATGTGGAGGTAATCCTAAAGTATCTGTGACAAGAGTAAAGCACTTTTACAGTTCCGTAACAAGGCAGTTCAAGTAGGTAGACTTACATGCATCAATATGCTGTTGGTCCCCTCAGACTTGCACATTGGGGTTCAAAGATAGGATGCTGCACTGGCGACGTGGGGTACAGGATTCATTAAACTAGATCCTTTTCTAAACCAGGTAGTTCCCAGTGGTTACAGGACCAACCCAGAGCTGGCCCTCCTCTGCTGTTACCTTTCCCTGTACTAATCCTATCTCTCCCTAGCCAACAGGTATCTGTCCCTAACTCACACTCCCCACATAGCAGTTCCCAGCAAATTGACCTAGCAGGGGCATATATATATATATATATATATATATATATATATATATATACACATACATACACAAACACACATACACACACAGGTGAAACTTAAAAAATTAGAATATCGTGCAAAAGTTAATTTATTTCAGTAATGCAACTTAAAAGGTCAGACTAATATATGAGATAGACTCATTACATGCAAAGCAAGATAGTTCAGGCCGTGATTTGTCATAATTGTGATGATTATGGCTTACAGCTCATGAAAACCCCAAATCCACAATCTCAGAAAATTAGAATATTGTGAAAAGGTGCAATATTCTAGGCTTAAAGTGTCCCACTCTAATCAGCTAATTAAGCCATAACACCTGCAAAGGGTTCCTGAGCCTTTAAATGGTCTCTCAGTCTGGTTCAGTAGGAATCATAATCATGGGAAAGACTGCTGACCTGACAGTTATGCAGAAATTGACACCCTCCATAAGGAGGGAAAGCCTCAAAAGGTAATTGCAAAAGAAGTTGGATGTTCCCAAAGTGCTATATCAAAGCACATTAATAGAATGTGGAAGGGAAAAGTGTGGAAGAAAACAGTGCACAAGCAGCAGGGATGACCGCAGCCTGGCGAGGATTGTCTGGAAAAGGCCATTCAAAAGTGTTGGGGACTTTCACAAGGAGTGGACTGAGGCTGGAGTCAGTGCATCAAGAGCCACCACACACAGACAGATCCTGGACATGGGCTTCAAATGTCGTATTACTCTTGTCAAGTTGCTCCTGAACAACAAACAACGTCAGAAGTGTCTTACCTGGGCTAAAGAAAAACAGACCCGGTCTGTTGCTCAGTGGTCCAAAGTCCTCTTTTCTGATGACAGCAACTGACCAGACTATGGGGGAAGAATTGAGAGGCACACACTGCAAGATGCTTGAAATCCAGAAATTTCCACAGTCTGTGTTGATTTGGGGAGCCATGTCATCTGCTGGTGTTGGTCCACTGTGCTTCATTAAGTCCAAGGTAAACGCAGCCGTCTACCAGGAGATTTTGGAGCACTTCATGCTTCCTTCCACAGACGAGCTTTATGGGGATGCTGACTTCATTTTCCAGCAGGACTTGGCACCTGCCCACACTGCCAAAAGCACCAAAACCTGGTTCAATGACCATGGGATTACTGTGCTTGATTGGCGAGCAAACTCGCCTGACCTGAACTCCATAGAGAATCTATGGGGCATTGCCAAGAGAAAGATGAGAGACATGAGACCGAACAATGCAGAAGAGCTGAAGCCTGCTATTGAAGCATCCTGGTCTTCCATAACACCTCAGCAGTGCCACAGGCTCATATCTTCCATGCCACGCCGCATTGAGGCAGTAATTGCTGCAAAAGGGGCCCAAACCAAGTACTGAGTACATATGCATGCTTATATTTTTTAGAGGTCCGATATAGTTCTATGTACAATCCTTGTTTTATTGATTACATGTAATATTCTAATTTTCTGAGATTGTGATTTGGGGTTTTCATGAGCTGTAAGCCATAATCATCATAATTATGACAAATCACGGCTTGAACTATCTTGCTTTGCACGTAATGAGTCTATCTCATATATTAGTTTCACCTTTTAAGTTGTATTACTGAAATAAATGAACTTTTGCACAATATTCTAATTTTTCGAGTTTCACCCGTGTATATATAAATATATACTGTATATATATTCTATATATATATATATATATATATATATATATAGATATAGAGAGAGAGAGAGAGAGAGAGCCTTTTGTGTCCAAAAAGGCTGCTCAAATCCCAGGAGAGCTCTGAATCCAGTCAGACACAGGCTCTCCAAAGATGGCCACTAGGAGCCCAGTGCAGAGGGCAAGTCAGTCCTCTGCAGGTTTCACCGAGCACCAGAGGTAGGCAGTAATCAGGTGATCACTGTGTTTACTTCTGCCAGCTAACCAGGAATTGATTGTATGATCTATGAATCTCTGCCTCACCTTCTGTGCTGACACTTACTCAAAGTAGTAACAGCGCTCAGTGGGGCAGAGGTGACTGCCATCAACATCCTCCTACACAATGGTGTAAAATAAAAAGAAGATAAATCAAAGAGAGGGAAACCAGAGGAGAGAGGGAGCACACAGAAGGATGCAAGCCCTGTTCACTGTGACACTCTACAACTTTTCCCCCAATGTATGGGTCTTTTTGGGGCTCTAGCAACTCCCCTGCAAAAAATTATTAGGGTCCTTAAATGAGTAACTCTCTGACTTCATTAACCTCTTCACGCCGGCCTCACACAAATGTGCGGCCTACCGGCGTCTGGGCCTAGACGCTGAGTAGCCGCACATTTGCGTTCAATTAAAAAAAAATATGTGTGCTGAGAGCGCGTGCCCTGTGCGCTCCCAGCACACATGTCCGGTACTCACGGAAAGGTCTCGGCCTTCTCTTTCGATTGGGACCTTTCCCGATCATGTGACCACTGTGATGATGCGTCATGGAGGTCACATGATCCCTAAAACCCGCCCCACCCATCCCGCCTCCCAGCTTCTGAAACTCTTAAAGGGTCGGGAGGTGCCGGCGTGAAGGGGTTAATTAGGCGAAGATCACAATGGAAAGTAAAATATCCCATATTAGCTAGCCATGTTCCTTCTTTCTAAAATTTTTGTAAAAGAAGAATAGAGGAAGTAAAATGGAGTTTAGTTTCCTCTTAGTTTCAGCCTGATATAGAGATTGCATATTCAATCTAATAATATGGCATAGCTCCCAACAGTCCCTGATTGTGTCTCAGATTTTCACCTTTCTCCCACTGGCCTATGTACAACAGGGGTGTATTTACCACAAAGCAAACAAGGCACTTGCTTAGGGTGGCATTTTTCAGGGGGGGGAGCACCTCCCCCAAGAAGAAGGGATGAAAGAAAGGACACATGCTCCATGGGAACCAAATGGGATCTGAGAGAGGATGTGGGCTGCTTAATGGCATATGTAGAGCCTGGCTCTCATGTCCAGAGATGAAGATGAGTGTCTTTCTCTCTATGGCCGGGGGGGGGGGGTAGTGGAAGGCTGACCCAGGTGGGGGGGCAGGGGTGTTCTTGGTCCATTTCAGGCTTTCACCACAGGGGGGGCAGTGGGGGAGGGGTTTTTTTGTTGGCCGGTGTCCGTGGGGGTGGACGATTTTTGTGTTGCCTAGGGCAGTACAAAACCTAAATACACCAATGGTGTACAAGGGATATTCCCTGCAAAGGCTTCCCTCCTTCATACTGTGCCTACAGCTAATTCCTATGTAAATTGGGATGAAATTTGCATGTGCATGAACCAGTGAATGATTTCCTTGTGAATACGTGGGCAGTGGAATTTTCATATATGAATTCAATTCACTGCCTCATCTACAGTTGCAAGAAAAAGTATGTGAACCCCTTGGGATTACGTGCAGTTTTGCATGAATTGGGCATAAAATGTGCTCTGAACGTCATCTAAGTCACAACAATAGAAGAACACAGTCTGCTGAACATAATACTACACAAACATTAGATGTTGCCATGGTTTAATTGCACATAACATGTAAACATTCACAGTGCAGGGAGGAAAAAGTATGTGAGGCCCTAGCTTAATGACTTCTCTCAGAGCTAATTGGAGCCAGGAGTGAGCCAACCTTGACTCCAATCAGTGTGATGATATTGGATGTGTTGCTGACAGCTGTCCTGCCCTTAAAAAACACACACCTGTTTTGGGTTTACTGGTTTCAAGAAGCACTGTCTGATGTGAACCATGCCTCGCAGAAAAGAGCTCTCAGAAGACCTACGATCAAGAATTGTTGACTTGCATGAAGCTGGAAAGGGTTACAAAAGTATCTCCAAAAGCCATGATGTTCAAGTGTCCACGGTAAGAC